TTGATCTAGTTAGAGCCAATAATCTTTTTATTGGATATTGCTAGACTACAATTGACTGTATCTAGATATAGTCTTTTAAGTTTCTATTCATCAGATGGTAGATAGGACTTAAAGGCATACATCTTGATACATTAGCACTTTATCAATTTTATTAGGGTTAATACTTGTATTGATGTTGGTAAAATAGAATAAATGAGGGATAACAAGCTATTTAGTAGATATTAGTCTTAGATAGTTTAGTAAATAGTTAGTAGAGCAAAAATTTGTATAAAATGAATTTAAAATATTATACAAGAAATATTTAATAAACAAGATGTATGCCAATTATATTAAAAAAAAAAAATTGATAATTTTTAAATTTTTTTTTTTAAATAAATAATATATAAAATATATATTAAAAATTAATTTTTTTAAAATTTTTTAAAATTGAATTAAATATATTTTTTTTAAAAAGTGAATAGGCATTTAATATCATGGTTTTTATTAAATTATTATATTTATTGCCATACATTTGTGGTCTTATACATGCCAATATTATTACTAACTATAAGTTTAACCATAACCAATTCACCTTCTTTTATCCAGATATCAACTTATACCATAGGGATAGATTCATACTTGGGTTTATCGAGGATGTTTCTTACTTAACATATGCTAATTTTCTATAGATTATCTTGTTTGAATCATGTTTTCAGTTCATGCAGCTGTAGATGGAATTCATATATATTGTGATAGAATAGATAACTTAGTTTTATTTTTATTTATTTTTATTAAATTATTATTAGTTTATTTTTAGCAGTAGGATTTATTATTTTACTATAGTATAAATATCTATTTATAGCACGTGTAATATAGATCAGACAGTATAAAAGGTCCAAACAGCCCGGAAGACCCAGAAGACCTACAAGACCTAAGATTTATATAATTATGATATTATGACATATAGATCAGGCAGTCCAGATAGCCTAGAATAAAAAACACTATATAAGTAGCTGCTGTCCATGTAATTTTTAGTCAGTTTTTGATAACTTACTTCTGTAACTGTTTGAATTTCTGACTCAGTGTCTTAATAAAATACTCTTATTTTATTAAACACATTTTGATTACAAAGATTCATTGAGGAATCTTTGCTATACCTTGGAATATTTGTGAGAGATTATTTCTGAAATAACGGACTGTTCTATATAATCTTTAAATTCCTTCTAAAAACTATCACTCAAATATGGATCAAATGGATTTTGATTACAATATATACTGTATACTTCCTAGTAAATACTCGAAAACTGCAATCTTTGGTTGATGCAAACTATCAAATCTAGAGATATTTTAATGCCAAGTGGAGCATGACTCCATAAATCTTCTAGTAAATACTTCAAAGGAATTCGTTGGCCTAAGCTGTCAAATCTAGGGGTATAAATGTTACGTAGGGCACAACTCCTATATATAGTGATATGATTGTATATATTTACACCATATGTTAGTATCTATATTAATGATCCCTTCAAAATTTTCTACTCTATATTAATATGCTTTATTTTATTTCTTAACCAGGAATGTTATAAGGGAAAGTAAAAGAGAAAACTGGAGGATAGTACCTATTATGGTAAATAGAACTTTGTAGAGGCAGTCATCTTGACAAAAAAAGATATCAGGTACCACGAAAAATGATCATTAAGTTATTTTACTCGAAAGTAAACACCTTATCATCTTTTTCGTCTTCTTTCTTTTAATAGTCATTATATACCAACCAGACAATCATCACATCACATTACCTTTTCTGAAGATCACAATCTTAATGCCCATAGAATTGGCATGTGAATTAGCTTCTTATAAGAAACAGTATATTACTGATTATAGTGTCAAATACCATATTAATTCTATTTAATTGTTTTCATATGGAATTGAACTGATATCTTGTGATCTAATTTGTGAAGCACTAACTACTATGCTATAAACCCATAGGTCCAAAATTGAATTAAATATTGTTTATAATTTATAATAATAAACTTTATAAATTTTTAATAATTTTATATAATTAAATATTTATTTAAAAAAGAAAAAAAAAATTTGTATTTAATAATATATTAAAAATCATAATTAATAAATTAATTACTATTTTTAGTTTTAATAATTTTTATTGATTTTTAATAATTTTATATACTTAAATATTTATTTGAAAAAAAAAATTTTTGTATCAAATAATATAATAAAAATTATAATTAATATATTAATTAATAAATTATTATAATTATTTATAAAAAATGAAGATCTTTCCGCTGATTCCTTTGCCAACCCAAAAAATAGACGTTCTCAAAAATATTTCTTTATTTTTGATAATAAAGTCTATACACTTTCTTTAAAATATTACTTCCTGAAGGCAGATGCCTTCTCCACTTGTTTACTCTTCCTTCTTTGAAAAACTTTGGATATTTCAGCAACAAAATAAACAAAACTTTACCTATCTGATCTATGGCAAGAACACCTTACTGGGAAGAAGAAACTTATAGAAAAATACCCTTCACATTTTCTTCTTAGGTTAGAAATTTCAAAAAGTAAACCACTAGCGAATGCATTTCCCAAGAACCATAAGAACCTTGGGTTCACTGTAAGTGAAATCTCTTGCTAAGGCAGGTGGATAAACTAGTTGGGCCGGCCAATGAATGCATCCCCAAGTAATATGGGAATCTTGGGTCCACTGTAAGTAAACTTCTTTGGTCTAGGCAGGTGGATAAACTGAAAAAACCCAGGTTTATGAACCTTTTCCACCATTCATATATATCTGGTAGTTGGCACTTTCAAGTGTGTTCAATTTTTCTTGGTTTTTCTGGGGAATTTTGCCTACTTCAGCTTGACCCTGAATTTTTTGTTACATCAAAATCTTTGGATGGTGATTGGCTGAAATTTTGGATTGGTTGATTAACAAGTAAAAGAAATATAAACAAGATACGTACCCACACGTGCCTCGCGTCATACCACATTATAACCGATGATGTAATTGGATAAAGCGAAAGAGCAAGGTATCGAGGTGTTCTTTGAATAAGAAGTGGTTTGAAGTCTTCTCTCTCTCCCCTTGTGCTGGTTTCTTTTCTCTTCAAGATCAAAGAAGGCTCTCATTAGGCTGGTGATTGGTGTTGACGGGTTTTTATTTTACCAGTACAAACTCTTCTTCTTCTCCTTTTATATTCCTCTTTTTTCTTCTCAAAAAATAAAAATTTTTCGCCTTAGGACCACAGAGGTTAAGCCAGGGTGACAGTCCTAATAAAGGGCTGGCTTTGAGACTTTAGAATAACAAGGAATGTTTTTCTTTAATTGAGCAACTTGTTCATCTCCCTTAATCATATCTAAAGACCATTGGTTGCTGACAGGTGTGCTGTAAAAGTAAAAAAGTTTAACCGGATAGTATATGTATATTTACACATAGTCTGTAACAGTTATACTGGAATATAGGATCACCATGTCCAAAATAAACTTGAATTATAGCCTGATTAGGTGAAAAAAATAATAATAATAATTATTATTTATAAAAAATTTAAATTAAATAATATTTTTAATTTTAATAAAACTTTATCAATTTTTAATAATTTTATATACTTAAGTATATTTATTTATTTAAATAAAATGAAATTTCAAAAACAAATTGTAATTCAATTATTTATTTTTCAAAATAGATTTTTTTTTATTATTACAAATTTTAAACATGGCATGGTTAACCAAGAATTCTAATTGATTAACTTATAATTAAGGTAACATATACAGTATCTCATACACAATATTTATTTATTTATTTCATTTTTTCCGAAATGATATTTTTATATAGCGCTATTCGATCCTCTAATTATCTTTTTAAAAACTAGTGAACTAATTCAACATTAAATTAGATTAATGATCCTGATAAGCATCCGTTTAATGAATGAGAATTCATTTCACAAACACTTCCACTTCTAATAATACATTTTCTAATAATACAACTTCATTTATCTCTTTCATGCATTAAATTTACTTGTAAATGAAGTATATTATCATATACGGTATAATTTCATTTACATTTATTTTTGTATTTGATTTCGATCAAGTATTGACCAAATTATTTTTGTTTTTTTCGATAAAATTTATTATCGCCACTTTTTTTCCCATCATTTTTCTATAAGATATCCCGACTAAATGAAAATACAAGATTCTATCCATTGCAAATATTACATCGTATACAGTATACGGTATGTGCTATTTTAAAAAAGAAATGGTCATTACTTTATGTAGTTAAATACCGACCAAGTATATATGATTAAAATTTAGTTGGCTAAAAAAGTAACCCGATTTTTTTTTAACAATCCAACATCCGATCAAGATTTATTTATAGTCATACAATATGAGGGTATAATTTTCGATGTATGGAAAAACAAGGAGCATGTGCATATTTTTATTGAAAAGCCAAAAGGAGACCGATAATTAAGTATGTCTATGCATAACGTTAAATAGAGAGACCGATTGCTGAACCAGTAGCTCGCTACTAAATATTTGGGTAAATTACGAAACACGCGGTGAGTGAGATGCATGAGATTACCAATAGAGAGATCGGAAATGGTCGTCACAGCCGTTGAGAAGATAATGTTACACGTAGCGTCATTGTTCAGAATGAAATCCTTTTTATTCTCTTATAAAGACCACCTTGCTTATTTTTATGTCGTGTATTGATTGATGCTTACGTATTTATTTTTATAATAGATTAATAAATTTTCTGTTAAAAAGAAATAAATTCAGGAAACACAACAATTGATTATTAAGGACAATCTTCAATATTGTAAGTCTAGGGTACGAACTGCTCACATTCACCTAATCATTAATTACGACAATCCTTATAAATAGCTCTTCATTGCACTTTCATTTTCATCCTTTTTCGCCTTCACTCGTAATCAAACCCTCATTAATATCGCCCTCATTCATTCCCATCCAATTGTGCACATTTCTTTCTTTTAATTCCAGTAAACCGTCTTTTAGAAAAGATGAAGACAAACAACTCATCCATCCTATTTTTTCTTATTCTCGTCATCTCGACGGCACTTGTAAATGGTCAAACCGACACCATTACTGACACTGCAACTTCCAGCACCACCAGCGCTGCTGCACCTGCCACCACGAATGGAAGTTAGTATTTAGCATTCATGGTAAATTTAATCGACTCTTCTAACTCTTACCCTCTCTCATCCTACAATAGACTCAATTGATAAGTGTCTAAAAGACAATAATTGCGGTACTGATCAAGCTTGCCGAGCTAAATGTGCCAAAGTACCAGATCCCAGCGCATCCGACGTTGATGCTACTAATCAATGTGTTGCGAAATGTGATCAAAGTAATTGTTATACGTCATCTTCAGTTTTGTTGTTTGATTATGCGATTGATTATCATCAATTAAAATTCAACATTTTTCTCTGACAATAGAAGCTGCGCCAGATGTTTACAAAGCATGTGTGAATAACTGTTATCAAATTTATTTCCCCAATTCCACCGCCGTATCGCCAAGTGGAACCACTCCTGCAAGCGGCGTCAACTCCGTAAACACTGCAAGCTCTTCAGCTACTGGTTCTGGTTCCGATGCAGGTGCATCGGGCTCTCCATCTCCTAAGTCTGCCGCCGTCTCCCTCCGACAGGAGAACCTCTATCCCTTAATGTTGTTGTTAATAAGTGTGGTCGCTGGAATGTCTGGATTCTTTTTTGAAATAATTTAATCTGTGGGTGCGTTCATTTGATTCATAAACCCAAATCATTAATAACATACATTAATAACCATATTATAATTACATAAAGCGCATGCTATAAAAAAAGAACAATATATTTTCTTTAGATATAGACCTTGTTAATTATAATTTGAATCGGTCCTTTTAGCTTTATATGTTGGTCACATCTTTGTGCTCGTATGATCGTAAAGGTAATAACTTTTATAAAAAACTCTTTTGAGAGAAATTTATCACACGATCAGGAGCGAATTTAATATCTATCCATCTAGGATTACGGAATAAAAACCGATTTCATTATCATCATTACAATAAAAGTGACTTTTTGGTGAATTTTTTTCGTAAGAATTACGTAGACACGGAAAAAATTTTTTTCACCAACTCCGATTAATCGAATGGGGAACTGTGATTTATTACGTGAACAACAAATTGAGTCAAAATTGTGTGTACGTCATGTTTCATTCATAGTCGAGACGGCAGTATAATTACGTGTGAATTTTTGGATATAAAAAAGTTTTGTACAAATTGTTTTTTCGCTTTCAGTAAGCTTCTTTGACTCTGGTAGGTTTTGTGTTAAAGAGATAACCATATAACTCGCGTTCTCACATTTTTACGGCATTGATCCTTTCTTTTGTCAAGTTGGAACTTCATTCTCATTTAAAAACATGGGCACCTTTACGGACAAGAGGGGACTCGAAAATAACTGTCTTGAGGGTAAATGTGATACAAACATGTATAGGTTTTCCGCAATTAAATTGATTGTTGATAGTATCATGCAAATGTAGTCACTTTCATTGCCATCTTCGCCCATTTGATAATTTGGGCAACGTTGGTCTTGTTTTCGGAATTTGTTCGCAGAAGAAGAGTTATTCCTACCGCAGGTCCTTTGACTAGCACTGGCGTGCCTTCCGTTGAACGTGTCGACCTACCAACTGCGGATCAAATGGTTGACTTTTTTTTCTGGTCCTATATTATGCATGCATCGATCATCTCTGTTAACAACGATCAACCTTGTTTAAAAAGGACAATCGTTATAGGAAAGTGGCCGATGCCGCGCGAGATTCATTGTTGATGCTCCTGATTGCGACTTTCGTAAGTTTGTGTTTTGTTTTGATATATCCCATATCTATTTTCTATCTATTTTTAAACTTTATTGATTGTTGTCATGACTAAAGGCCACTCAAGTAGGGTACGGTGCCACCGCGGTAAGTACTGTACAACTAATAATTCTCTTTCGTCTGATACTCCGGTCCGGACACCATTAATTGTCCGATTGATTTTTTTCCAAAGGCTTCGGCGATCCTATCGTGGATCTTCTTTGGACTATCCGTTTGTTGGGTTTTATCCATCTTATTCTTAGATCACATTTGGATCCCGTTGATCCTTCAGGCCGTATCATTCCCCTTCATCTTGGCAATCTTTGCCCTAGCGTTTCGAAACGCCGATGCAGTTGGGAATCCCCGAGTACTCATTCGTCAAGCTCATGGTATTACACTTGCCGGCCGAAATGGTTTCTGGTTTCAATGATTCTCGGCCTTGGTAAATTTCACCGATTAGACGATATTAAGTTTTACTTTAGATAAAATTGCTACGTGTGTCTGATTAAATCAGCAATATTGCAAAAATGTAAAAATCAAAATGTAGTAGTAACCTGTAATTGTTTACTCGTTGTATTCCAAAAAGTTTATTATGTGCATCAAGTTTAATGCGTGAAACTTGGAGTTTTGTTTTCTTTTTTTTTCTTTTAAATATATCACAAAAACATTTGATTAAAGAACGTTACATCCCGGAACGGCAGTTTACCATAATAGTTAAACAGCTAATGAGTTGTGCGTTACCTGCTAAATTTTTTAATTTAAAAATTCATATTTCTCCGACAGGTCAATTTATTATTTAATATTGTGTTTGTTTATTTATCTTCCAAAGCAGGCTATCGCGAAATTGAGCCTCATAAAAGGTCAGATTCTTGTTAAACGAGAGTTCCACAAGAACCGATCACGAGATGACAGAACGAATATAAGGATAAAAAAAGATGTGGTAATTCAAATGAAAATATCTCCATTAATTACTGTGTACAATTTCATGTTAACCATATTATATACCGTATACAGTATATTCTTTTATTAAAAATTTTCTATTTTCTATACTATACTGTATGTTAACATTATTTTGTAATTTTTATATATTGTAAGTTTAAAACCAATTAATTATGTTATATAATATTATTGTATTATTGATTTTTATAATAAAATATATAACTTATTTATTTAATTCAATATTATGAATGTATTTTTATAAAACATTTATTTTATATTTCTTGATATATATTGGAATTTAAAGTTAATAATGTGATTTATTATTAGATAAATTGAATATTTTAATAATAAAAATATATATATTTAAAAAAAAATTAATATAATATAAAATTATTTTTATTAATTTTTTATTTAAAAAACAAAAAAATAAATATTTCACTTGATAATTTTTGATTATTTATTATCAAAATATAATTATTTCTAAAGTAATTTAAGTTAATTAGATTTTAAAATTTGTTTATTATCAAATTTTTGTTATATAAAAATTATTTAAAAAATTTGTTATTTTATTAAATTTGTATAATAAATATTAAAATATTATTAAATAAAATATTTATATTATTTTATAGTAATTAATAAAAAAATTTTATTAAATTTTAATTTTACTTAATTATTTTTTTATTTAATTTTTATATTTTAATTTTAACTTCTTATTTAATAAATAATAATTAATTAAAAATAACTTAATATTAAAAAATTTAAATATATTATAAATAAAAATCAATAACAAAAATATAAAACCAAAAAATAAAAATCTATAGATTAATAGCATCTAGTTAATATTTTTAGGTTTAAATTATAAAATATTAGTTCAACTCCATATAAAGACAATTAAATTAAATTAAAAATAATATCTAATATACAGTATATATATGGTATAAATTATTTTGTTGTTGACTTAATTGTTAAAATTCTTAAAAATAATTTCATCTGACTCAATTATTTTATATATTTTAATAATGACTCAATTAATTGTATTAAATAATTGTATCAAATTATATCAAGGATCTATTAATTTCTATTATATATATAATCTGATATCATAATTTATTATATACTATTTTTATAGAAAGTTATTTCTTATGCTAATCCAGTAGATATTAGGATTGTAATACTAAAAAAAAGCATTGTAATATAATAATTATTCAGTTAATATTATAATAATTATTATAAAATCTTTTTATATATAGATTATCTAGTTATTTTATATATATTATATTTAATAAGCCTTGTTTTGACTTTCAAGATTTCCTAGTTTGAAGCTATTCAAATCTGATATATACTTAAAAGAAGTCAGTTTTTAAAAAAAGATCTATTAAAACTACAGATAATAAAAATAAGTAAGTATCTCTTTTAAGATTTCAAATAAAAAGTATTAGGGTATTTGAAAATCCTATTAATTCTTATAGAATAAATATAATTTTTAGTAAATGGATTAATATAGATTAAGTGATTTAAACTAGTAATAGGATTTTCTCTCATATAGAAATTCCATCTGATGTATGGATTTACTATTGATATATATTTTTTATAATTGGATTTAAGATTAGCAATAAAGCTATTATCATAACGAGTATTAGGCAATATTAATTTATAGTTATAAAACTGTTTTCAAATATAACTAATACAAATATACAATTGTTTCAATTGTAAAAAAATTCTTGATATACTTTATAGATATTAAAATATTAATAAAAATTTGTATTATTATATATTCATCTATATAAAAAAAAATAAAACCAAAAAATAAAATCAAGTTAATAAAACTAAAATTTATTTTTTAAAAAGATATACAAATTTGTTTTAATTTTTTTAAAACAATTTTTTATTAAAAATATTTTAATTATTAGATTATTGATTATAGTATTTTAAATCCTGATTTTTGATTCTTTGAAGTGTTTCATAATTTTCATTTCTTATCAAGATCTTTCAATAATAAAGTCTATAAAAACTAATATAATTAAATATTTAATTAGTATCCTTTAATATAACTATTGGAAATCCTTTAAAGATACTTTATTAGTTTAAATTTTCTTCTTCTTATTATCTTTTTTGGTAATATAATTATATTAAGAATAATTCTAGTTGATTTTAAACATTTAATCATATTATAATCCTTTTATAAACCAGTTTTTTTATAATTGGAAGTATTGATTATATATGATTAAACCAATAATATATCAGTTTTTACTAATTTATCAAAAAATCATATTAGTTTTCTAATAAAATTAAATTTATAACTTGTAATACAAACCTATAGTATTTTAATTATTAAGCTATAAATCTATAAATTTTACAAATTAAATATATAAAAAAATATTTTAAAAAATTAAAAAATTTTCTAATAAATAAATAAAATAAGAAAAATCTTAAAAACTTTAATAAAACAAATTAAAAAAAAAAATCTTTTTAATAAAGATAATATACAATAAATTTTTAACTTTAAACTAAAGCTTCTAATGATACTATTTCAATATCTGTTCAATACCAGTTTGATACTTAAATTTATTATAAATTAATATCATTTTGATATTATTTTGATACTGGTTTGATACTTTTTGAAGTCCTACTTTGAATAATATAAACAAACAATTTTTAAAGGCTTCTAATTTTATTCCAATTAAATTCTATAGTTATGTTATATAACAATAATATATTTAATACTATAGATTAAACTATATATTATTTTAATTAATTCTATTCAACTTATATATTAGAAGGAAATATAATTAACTCTAAAAAGATTATTGATATAATTATTAATATTATGGAAACATCATATCAAAAAGATACTATTCATTATATAAGAGTTATATCCTGCTTGATATTTATATCCCTAAATTTGATAGCTTAAACCAATCAAATTTTTTTGAAGTATCTACTAGGAAATATTGAAATTATGCTTCACTTGATCTTTAGGCCTTTAGATTTGATAGTCTATACTAACTAGGGTTTCAAAAAGTATCAAATTGATACCTAAATAATATCAAAATAGTACTGATCTATAATAAATTTAATATATGAATTATAACTTACTCATATAAATTTAAATATTAAACTGATATCAAAGTGGTATTATTAGAAGTTTTAGTACTAACAAAAGATTATAGCTTTTAAAGCATTTACTAGAAAATATAATAAATGTGTCAAACCTTTTCTGATTTCATATTTGTATAAGCTGAAAATATAAAATAAAAATATAATCTATTAAATACTAATATAAGTTTCAGTTTCATAAATACTTAATGTTCTTCTAAAAATAATTGAATTAATAGATTAGAATGATTTAAACTAATAATAGAATTTTCACTTCAGATAAATTCTATTAAAAATATAAATCCACTTTAAGAATATTATTAATATTATTTAAATAATAAAAAGTAGATTAGATTAATATTTAGTTATAGTCTTGTATTATAGATAATATTTGATATAATTGTAATATTATATATATTAATAAACAATTGATATTTAATACTTATTTTATTATAAAAAAAAAACAAATAATTTTTTTAAAAAGTATAAAAATTTAATTAACTGTTTTTATTATAAATAAGAAAAAGATTTTTTAATATTTTTTTTATATTTTAATATTTTGAAAATTTTAAAAAAAAATTTGAAATAAAGTTCAAAATTAAAGCTTAATAAATAATTAAAATATTCAAGAAAAAAAAAAGTTAAGGCTTATAAACTAATATTTATATATTATTATAGAAATAATATATAAATAAAATTTTTTAAAAATTATAATAATAATAAAAAAACTCTTTTCACTAATTCCTTTGCCAACTCAAAAAACAGACGTTCTCAAAAATATTCTTTATTTTTGATAATAAAATCTATATACTTTCTTTAAAAACATTACTTCCTGAAGGCTGGTGCCTCCCCCACTTATTTACCCTTCCTTCTTCAAAAAACTTTGGATATTTTAGCGACAAAATAAACAAAATTTTTACCCATTTGGTCTACGGCAAGAACACCTTACTGGGAAGAAGAAACCTGTAGAAAAATACCCTCCTCTATTTCTCCTTAGGTCAGGAACTTCAGAAAGTGAACCACTAGTAAATGCATTTCCCAAGCTCCATAAGAACCTTGGATCCACTATAAGTTTATAACCTTCGGTCTAAAGCAGGTGGATAAGCTAGTTGGGCCTATCAGTGAATGCATTCCCAAGTTTGGGTCCACTGTAAGTTAAAAACTCCTTGTCAGGCAGGTGGATAAGCTAATAGGAATCTATTGTCCAGGTATATGAACCTTTCTACCATTTATACATATCTGTAGATAGTACTTTCTAGCATGTGCAATTTTTCTTGATTTTTCTAGGGAATTTTGCCTACCTCAGTTTGACTCTGAATTTTCTGTTACACCAAAAACTCTGGATGGTGATTGGCTGAAATCTTGGATTGGTTGATTAACAAGTAAAAGAAATGT